GTCTCTTTAGGGGCCATGCCAGGGTGTTGGCTCTGCGCCCCAGAGGCCAAGGTCTCCCAGTCTCTGGCTGGGTGGTGGGAGGGAGGCTCACGAGACAATGTCTCCTTTCACACCACGCCAAACCCACACTCAAGTGCCCCTTTGACAAGGGCTCTGCTGGGAAACAATATACAAAGACCCTGAGCGTGGGGAGGTGCCGCGGGGTAGCTCAGGTGAAGGCCTTCGCCCTGACCTCCTCTGTCCCTGACCGGGGCGTCCCTCCTTTGCCCCAGGACACCCCCAGGAACTGTGAGCGCTATCTGAACTGGGCCCACGCCTTCCTGGTGGTTTACAGCGTTGACAGCCGCCAGAGCTTTGAGGGCAGCAGCAGCTACCTGGAGCTGCTCGCTCTGCACGCGAAGGAGACGCAGCGCAACTACCCGGCTCTGCTGCTGGGCAACAAGCTGGACATGGCCCAGTACAGGTGAGCACGGCGGTTGTCCCACGACTCCAGAGCTCACGTTCCTCATCTGTGAAGCCTGGGTATCATCTTCAGGGATTATTTGGCTGCTAAGAATAGGAATCTCGAAGAGTTCGGGAGGTAGAGGCTGGCAGCGCAGCGCAGTTTTAGGTAGAAGGGGGTATGTTGTAAGGGTGTGTCTTCCAGGCAGCCATGGACAGGAAGGGAGGGGCATCTGGGCAGCACAGGGGCTGGACCCTGAAAGTCAGGAAAGAGGCCACTCCTTCCTTCCTCCTGGGGCTCTGTGGTCTCTGCTGGCCTCACCCTTTCTTGCCTGCGTCTATATGACCTTCTGTCCCCACTCGGTGCAGCGGGCTGGCCACTCTGTGCCCAATTCTAATTCTAGAGAAGGAGACTCTGGTTTACTGGGTAAGGAGTCTGCCCTGGTCCAACCAGCTCTCACCTCACCCAAGCGCAGCCCCCAGGCTCACTTCCACAGCTGGCTGTGCTGAGGGCAGTTCTCTTCGCAAGGATTGGACTTGGATCAGAGGTCACAGACTGGACCAGAGAGCAGATTACCATCGAATACTGCAGCCATGTGTAGCTCATGTATTTTAGGAGACCTGGGGCTGGGCATGCTCTTTCTAGCTGACCACAGGCCTCACCACTCCCTGTGGCTTTCCTCTATCTCTACACACATTTTAGTTGCCTGTCTGCCCTGAAGAATTTGAGACTATGATGCCTTCACTTGATAAGTACTAGTAATCTCCCTGGCATTCGTACTGACATTCGTCCTGTGTGGCCAGTCCACCTGCAAGGTATGGCACCTTCTGCCAGCCTCCCACCGGTCCCCCCCTGCTCATGGGTGGCCACTCCTGACCCCTTAGGCCCCAAGGGTGCATTGACTGATGGTGGCAAGGAGGGGACCCTTTGTTTATGGACAGTGGGAAAGGGGTTCCAGTCTCTTGAAGGGGGACAAGCCCTCAGACCCAGACATATTCCATCTCAGGGAATGAAGAAAGTTGTGTGATCTTAAAGCCAAAATGAACTGCAGAGCCCCCAGAGCCTAGAAGACTGGATTGAGGTAAACCAGTTTTCATTATGAGGAAAAAATCCAGACCGTTGTTTTGATCCCAATCTTTGCCAAATAGATTGTCTAAAAATGGTTTGGGAGCAAATAACAAAGAACATGTGCTCAAGTGAAGCAGCATCCATTCCCTAAGAACAAGTCCCTGACTCCCCATTTCCTTCTCCGATCAGGTCCCTAGCTCAGGAGGTCAGGCTCTGATGGACATCGTAAATCTAACTTGGAGCTGAGCACTGATCAGTGCCTCCCATGATTGTCTTGCAGCTAAATGTGGTTTAGAGCAGCGGTTCCCAAACCACTGATAAAATGTTCACCAGGCTCCAACAAAATGAGAAAAAGGATGTTACATGCCTGCATCACCCCATTCACACACATGCATGCATCATGCATGGGGTTCCTGTTCCTGAAAGTTCATTATTCGAGCCCCACGATGACAAAGTTTCAGATTCAAGTTTATTATAAAAGTAAATAATACTAAATATTCTTTCACAAGAGGCACCTCAGGAAGCAGTGACAGGACACCAGCCCTGGGTGGGGGCAGGATTAGGTGCTCTGCCCCTGACCCTTTTTGTCCCAGTCACTCTATCCGGTACTGCCCTGGGTAGCTAGCCCGCTCCCAGCCCCCTGCTCCTGCCAAATGAACCTTGGCTCAGAAACCTGTTCCCACCAGCGCCCACCCTAGTGTCTCCTCCCATCGCGTGGGCTGTGCCATTGTCCTCAGGAGTGGTGGGTGAGGCAGCTCAGTAATGGGAGGCGGTCAGGAGGATTCAGGCGTCGAACCTTGGCAGGGACATCCTGTCCCTTCCCTCTTCTGGACATTTGACCTGCCCAAGAACCAGCCTTTTCCCCTCTCACCTTGACTCCCGGGGCTTCCAGGTTAGATGCTTTTAGGACCTTCCCAATTGCAAATATTTGCTCCCACCATCCTGGGAGGTGGGATGAAGCTGGGAGTAGGTGCTGCTCCCTCTCCGCCCTGCCCCCCGACTCCACATGAATGTTGTCACCCTTCTCTCTCCTGCCCGTCCCCTAGGCAGGCAGACAAAACTCCCCCAAGCCCTGAGAGCTTTGCCAACCACAGGCATCCTGAGTGACTTGGCCCTCCACGCCTCTGTAGACACTGTGGTCTCACACCCGTCAGTCCAAACTACTGCCTTTTTGTAGAGCCGAAGAGCTGATCTCACGAGGGAGGGCTGAGGGTGGCTCATGTCCTGACCAAGGGCCCCCTATGGGGGAGAGGGTAGGGATGTGGATGGCTGTCTTCCTCCAGCCACAGGCAGGGTGTAGGTAGGGCCTTTGACCAGCTTCTCTCCTACCCTCAACCTCGCTCCTAAATTCTGGCTTTGGTGACATCAGCCACCCTTTATTGAGCACTGACTCTGCCAGGTACTGTGCTAGGCAAATTGTCTTTCTTACTCTTCTTAACCCTGAGAGCAGATGTAATTGTCCCATTTTGCTGATGAGAAAGCTAAACCTTGTAGAGATGAAGATGATCTAGTCACCGAGCTAGGAAGTGGGACCTTGTGTGGGCCCAGGCCTGCCTGACGTGGACGCCTGCTGCTGACCTCACCTCGCCCTCCTTCCCCACCAGGCAGGTCACCGAGGCAGAGGGCGCAGCCTTGGCGGGAAGGTTTGGGTGCCTGTTTTTCGAGGTCTCGGCCTGCCTGGACTTTGAGCACGTGCAGCACGTCTTCCATGAGGCAGTGCGGGAGGCACGGCGGGAGCTGGAGAAGAACTCCCCGGCCCGGCCCCTCTTCATCTCCGAGGAGAGGGCCCTGCCCCACCAGGCCCCGCTCACTGCCCGTCACGGGCTGGCCAGCTGCACCTTCAACACCCTTTCCACCGTCAGCCTGAAGGAGATGCCCACCGTAGCCCAGGCCAAGCTGGTCACTGTGAAGTCGTCCCGGGCCCAGAGCAAGCGCAAGGCACCCACCCTGACCCTATTGAAGGGCTTCAAGATCTTCTGAGGCTCCAAGGCTCAGAGCCTGGCAGGGCAGCAGCGGGTGGCTGACCTCTAGCCACTGGCTTTCCCTCCGATGGAACAATAGCCTGCGCCCTCTGGTGGACAGCTGACCGCTGCTCCAGCACCAAGCAGTGTCCCCGACACCCAGTTCAATGTGTAAGCTGGAGGGATGACCGGCAGGAATGCTGCTCCTATTCTGAGGGCCTTGGTTTCCGTGGTAACCACGACATTCCCTGCCATTGAAGGAAAACAGCCCCCTGGGACAGCCCAGACACCTGGAGTCAGCCTTAAGCAGGAGGAAATTGCAGTGTCCGTTGTGGTATCGCCCCTTCCTGCTCCAGCTCCAGCTAAGCCAGATGTGGCCCCTAGTGGACAGCTCTGGCTGGACAGCTCCAGGAGGCCTGGCATAAGTGTAGGCCTGAGGACATCCTGCAGGAAGGACAGGCCGAGGCCCTCGAGCACCTGGAAGACGGGAGGGCAGGGTGGGTCCAGGGTTTGGGGGGCCAGAGTCTGGTCCTCCCGTTGTCTCCTGATCTCACAGAAGCCCCAGGCAACAAACCCCACAGTTTTTCTAAATAACATCCAGTTTAAACCTATGAGACACCCTGTAAGAAGCAAAGTCGCAGGAGGGGCTATTCCAGTGCTTGGCCGCTTAAGGAGGGTAGAGGGAGAGGCTGTGTGTGTCCAGTGAAGGGGACCTTAGAATTGTTCACCAGAAGGCAGGGCCTCCTTATCTTCCCATCCTCAAACAAAGGACTCAGCCCATTGTCAGGACCAGCCTCCTTAGTATAATGATCAAAGCTGCAGAACAAAGTTGCTCTCTCCGGTGACAAGGACTCAGGATTCCAGGGAGCCCACGGCTGACATCCAGGCACCATTAGCCTGCCCTGGGTCTACAGGTGGAAACAGTATATCAGCAGGACCCAGTACCCTTCATAATGGGTCTGAGTGTTCAAAGTCTTCTTTGGTACGATAGAATCTAAAGCATTTTTGGTTCTTAAAGCAAATTTTTGCATAAATTATTTGGGGTTGCCCCCATAGCTTAGACCACAACACTGGGGCTCAGACACAGATCAGGACCCTCCCTTGGGGTCCCATGGTTAGCAAGAGAAGGGTCTCAGAGGCAGGGTGTCCCCTGGGTTTTAACTCTTTGTACCATGGGACTCCGGGCCCAAAGGAAGTCTTTCATGGACCCTCAGCAGAGAAGCAGATAAAGGAGAGGCCCCTCGTGGGAGGAAGGGCTGGGAAGGGGGTTCTGAGCCAGAATCCTGCTCCTTCCCCTGTCAGCAATTCCAGGAACTTGGATGGAAAACAGCAGGCCTGACCCAGCCTTCAGCCCCGCTCTATAGAGGGAAGCGGAGGTCAGAGGCTGGGACCTCCTTGGGCCACATGAGGAGTCCTGGCCGGGCTTCCTGACCTGCAGGCTGGCTGTGGATTTCGCTCCCAGCCCCGTATGTGGGGCCACCACCATTTGAACAAACTATGCAATTCCAACTGCCCACATTCAGAAGCATTTTAATAAAAACGTGGTTTGTGGGGTTTTTTCCCCCATAACAGAATTTTAGTTGGATGGCACTTCTTTCGGTTTATCTGCTCACAACATGGGGGCCTGCCCTGCCCTCTCACTAGCTCTCGGATTCCTGTGGGTCTGGAAGGAAGACGGCTGGCATGCTCCTCTCTTTTAACTCAATGTCCACCTCGGCCAAGTTTAGCTTTTCTGAGAGCAAAGTCTCTCTTAGGATATTCAGATTGTTGTCATCTTTGGTTCCGGCCTCAGTCAAGACTTCTGGAGTTGGCTTTTCCCGTGGCAGCTTCTTTTGCCTTCTGGGGGGAAAGAAAACACTGTTGAGTGTGTGTCCCCTGAGCCGGGGGTACTGGGTGGCCGGGGGAGGCCTGGGCGTCCCCTGAGCCGGGGGTACTGAGTGGCCGGGGGAGGCCTGGGCGTCCCCTGAGCCGGGGGTACTGGGTGGCCGGGGGAGGCCTGGGCGTCCCCTGAGCCGGGGGTACTGAGTGGCCGGGGGAGGCCTGGGCGTCCCCTGAGCCGGGGGTACTGAGTGGCCGGGGGAGGCCTGGGCGTCCCCTGAGCCGGGGGTACTGGGTGGCCGGGGGAGGCCTGGGCGTCCCCTGAGCCGGGGGTACTGGGTGGCCGGGGGAGGCCTGGGCGTCCCCTGAGCCGGGGGTACTGAGTGGCTGGGGGAGGCCTGGGTTCCCAGATGCGTTGGAGCGTTTGAGGGGAAGACCCAGTAGGCTGTCCTGGGAACTGTTGGGGGAGATGGTTTTGATGTTCTTTCAGCAGAGACACGGAGTAGACTTGCCCGTGCCTCTCACCAAATCCTCATGGCCACCTGTGAGCTCAACTATGAACGCTCCTCGTACGGAGGAGATGTGGCTCAAAGAAGCACATTCCTGGGACATGCATTTAAGTCTCCTGACGCTGAGTCCTGTGTTTTCACCAAATCATATTTTTTTTCCGATCCCAGAACTGTCATCTCACTTAGTGCAGGTCCTTGTCACCCCACACCACATCCCCAGGCAAACTGCAGGGCATTCCTAAATAATCTTCCAGCCTCTCAGTGCTTACGTCTCCAAACCAACCTAAACACACCAGTCATGTCTCTAAAGCCCCGGTGTGCACACATCACTCCCCAGCTCAAGCACCTTCAATGGCTCCCCATTGCCCACCTCCTTAATCCAGCATCCAGCCTTCTTTCCTTTCAACAACTCCCCTGAATATCCTCTCTCTGAGGTGGTTTTACTTAAGGTACACTTCCTGGCCATGCGGGAGGGACCCCGCTGTGGTTAGAGCTGACTGCCCAGAGACTCTGCTTGGGCCCTGGGGTGGGGGTGCATCTCAGTGTCTGCCGCTCCCTTGGACAGACACCGTGGCTCTGAGTTGACCTTGCTGAGGGGGATGCTTCCCAACAGGATGAGAGAGGCAGAGTCCCTTAGAGGCGACACCCCTCTGGGCCCTTCATGCAGAATGATCTTGCTAAAACATGAACCTTTCATGTCCCTGTGCAAAGCCCTTCTCATGAGCTAGAAGCTGAACTCTTTATGATGGCCCTCAGGGTGTGTACACTCTGGGTCCTGGCACCTCTTGTCCTCCCTCTCCCCCCTCTGCAGCCCTCCTCACACCCCACACGACAGCCACACAGGCCCTCCCTCCCACCTGGAGCTTGGTGCGTGCTGCCCCTTGGTCTGGAGGCTTCGGCAGCCTGCCTACCATCTCTTTGCCCTGAAGGCCCCAGATCCCAGCTCTGTGCTCCCACAATACTCTGTATGTCCCACAGTCATCATCTGTCACTTTGAACTACCGTCATCTCCTCACCAATCTGTAGATTCCATAAGGCCAAGGCTGAACTATCTTGGCCACTAGTGTGGCCTCCACTCTCAGGATAGAGCTTAGCACAGAGCAAGTGCTCAGCCCGTATCTGTGGGGTGAATGATGAATGGGCCACAGCAGTTCACAATGACTAGTTCTCAGTGTGAACTATGGGGTTATTTCTTTTTGACTTGGTAGCAAACAGGAAGATTCGTAGATGATGTAAAATATGGCATAGAAGGAAGAGCAGGGAAGTTAGGCCAACCCTTCCATGCATCCTTAATGACCTTTTTCTGTACAACGAGAATTAATAACTTGTGCCTGTCCCGCCTGACAGAGCTGTCTTAAGGATCAAATAAGAGAATGTGAAGGTGCTTTTAAAATTACAAAACATGATACAGATTTGAAGGAGAGAGTCTCATTATTGTTTCAAAGTTACTGATGTGATGGTTGATGGGTATATAGCAATTGTTGAATGCGTGAATGAATTAGTGGGGATGAGTGAGCTAAGCATTTATTGAGTGATTTCTAGGTCCACACATTGTGCCAATTGCTTGGGGCAGTGGTCGGCAAACTGCGGCTCGCGAGCCACATGTGGCTCTTTGGCTCCTTCCACAAAATACCGGCTCTTCCACAAAATACCGACTTCTGCGCATGGGCCACAAAGTTTCAATCGCACTGTATGTGCGCACCCGCACGTGATATTTTGTGGAAGAGCCACACTCAAGGGGCCAAAGAGCCGCATGTGGCTCACGAGCCATGGTTTGCCGACCACAGGCTTGGGGGGAAACGCGTTGTATCAAATGTGGTCCCTGCCCTCAAGGATCTCAGACATTAGCCCTGGTGCCATCCAGAGAGTTTAACCACATGCCACTGTCCCGACCTCACCTCAGCCCCTATGTGTCTCCAAAGGAGGCCCAGCATTCTGAATTTTTAATATTCCGGTGATTTGGGGTGCATCCAGGATTGAGGAGTATTGTCATTATAAAACTACCCCAGGAGCCTCAACTGATATCAGGGCTCTATCGGAACCCTGTTTTGGGCCTTGGAGCAGGGCAGGACTTTCCCCTTTAACAGCATGCCTTCCTCTGCAGTAGCCCCACTGAGCACTCCCCACGGAGAATTGGTTGCTACCACCATTTATAGGGGTAACTGGTTCAGAAGTATTGAGTGTGCTGCCCCGCTAGTGAGTGACAGGGCTGGGACTTGAACCCAGGCCCCTGTGACTCCAGAGCCAGAGATCCTGACCTCTGAGACATACCAGCCTCTGCCCTGTTCCCTAGCCAGGGCCAGCAGGCGATAACTGGGGACAGTTGCTAGTTTTCCAAAAATTCTGGGTTCTCAAAAGACCCTGAAGGCTGCCTTTTACTATCCCAACGGGTGGACAGCCAAGGCCCATAGACACCCTCCTCTAGGTTTCCCTGGGGAGGGCAGGGCCCCCACTTTCCAGAGGCCACCCCGGCCATCTCCTTACCTGTTCGCCTTGATGCTCCTTCCCAGGAGGACCATGCTGATCACGACCACCACACCCATCAGGGCAAAGATGGAAATATTCCAAGGAGTTGCTGGGGAGGGACACAGAGGGCAGAGACTTGAGCAGAAGCTGGTGCCCCTCAGGCCCCCTGACACCTGGGGTCTGGGCTCAGACACAGCTCCCAGCATCCATTGTCCCCTGCTGTGGATCAGGTGTTGTAGGTGAAGATGAGCCCCCCACCCTGCAGGAACTCCAGCGTGTGTGTGTGGGGTGGGGGGTGGGGGGTAGGAGTAGGGGTGGGAGGAGGAGGGCAAGATCTCTGCCTTGGAACAGCCCTAATCTAAAGGGGCCAGCACTGCAGTTAGATGATAGGGGGGTGGGGAGGGGTGAGTCAAGATAAACTTCACAATCTTCAGAGTTTTGCCAGGGCCTGGAGGCATTGGGCAGTGCCAGGAACAGAAGGAAGGGAGAAGCCAAGGGGACAAGAAGAGAGGGAGGGATGGAGGGGGGAAAGGAGGGAAGGAAGGAAAGAAGGGTGGCAGTGAAAATGGATTCAAGAACTGCCCACAGATAACACATAAAGTGGCTAATCTGAATCTAGATAACCGAGATTTGGCCACACTGTACTGAACGGAGGCAGGATCCAGCCTCAGAGCTTTGGCATTGGCTGTTCCCTCTACCAGGAACGGCCTTCCCCCACATAAGTCCTTCACCTCCTACAGGCCTTCCTTCAAATGTCACCTTCTGAGTGACCACATTACCTACCCTTGCCACCTACTTCCTATTCCCTTTCTCTGCTTCATTTTCTCCCTTATTTTTTCTCTTAGTCCTGGAATCACCCAGAGTGTTTAACAAAATGCCACGGCCCAACTCATCACCAACGCACTAGGCATTTTGATGTTTATCCTGTTTATTTCCTCTCCCTTTCACGAAAACATATGCTTCATGAAGACAGAGAGTTTTGGTGTTGTTCAGTGTCGAAAACAGTGCCTGGTGCACAGAAGGAACTTAAATACTTGTGAATGATTGAATGGGTGGGTAAATGAATGGCCAAGCCCCAGGAAAAGGACCGTGAGGTTCGACTACACCCTTCTGGGTACCGAGGCCCCTCAGCTGCTTTGAAGCAAATGTGCAGCCTGCCGTGGAGGAAGGGACCGTGTCCAGGGCTTCAGCCAGAGTCCAGTTTGTGTTTTGTGTTGAGAGCACACACCCCACTCCCCCGTCCCCTGCCACTTACCATCTTCTACCCGAAAAAACCAAAGCATTTCTTCCAGCAGCTCCTGAGGCACCACAGTGCCAGCTGGGGCTCCGGCGACCCCCTCACCACGGGGCACGCCCTGCTCCGGGCTGGGGTACATTTCTGACAATGAAGTCCTTAGGCCCCTTCAGCCCCTCAGCTCCCCTCTTGGCCTCCTAGGTGCTGGCCCCTGTGCAAAGCCCTGCAGATCCCTGGAAACAAAGCAGAAAGCATGACCCATAGCCCACCCCAGCCGGAGCTCCCCTCCCTGCCCAAACCCAACTCTCCTCTCGCCCGAAATTACAGGACCAGAACAGGCTGGCCCAGAGCAGTGGGGGCCTGGAGAGGCAGAGACCACGGGCTTGGGAGTCACTCAAGTCTTTATTAAAACCCATCACGCGTGGGGAAGAGCACTGACCTGGACCGGGAAGGACTAAGCCACTGCTGGGCTGTGGGACCCTTCCAGGGGACACCGTCCGCTTTTGCCTGCTCAGCATCCCCATCCAGCTCCTGCAGCCACGGCTCCTCCCTTCACCCTGGCTCCTTAGCAAACTGTCCCATCCCTTGCCTTTGGTTTTCATGTGATAGCCAGTCACAGGACCCACATAACAAAGGTTGGGCCTATCACAGTCTCTTATCTGGGGATTGGCATGCCTGCCACCCAGAGCTGAGAAAGTACCAGAAAAGGGGAGCTGTCAGCTATTGCTGCCGAGAGCTGGCAGCTCACTCTCCTCGCTGCCACCTCCATGCCTGACTGGCCAGTGTTGCTCTCAGTTCAGCAGCCCCCTGATAACTTCTTTTTTTTGGCGGGGGGGGATTGTTATAAGAATTGTTTTCTGTCGTTTGTAGTGCAGGAAACTGAATCCATGCTCCCTGGCTACATCCTTTCATTAATTTCAGCCTGTTTCTATCCCCACAAAACAAAGCAAGTTAAGCAATCTGTGTTTACTAAGTCAGATATTGAAATCTAGTAATAAAAAATAATAAACAATTCCAACTTTGGATGTTGACATAAGGCCACATCACTATATCAAGGGATCAGAACAGGAATTTCGTAGAGACCTATGTACACATGGGAACGTGACGTATAATAAAGGCGGCTCTACTAATCGGCAGGGAAAGAAGGGGCCATCTAGTAGGTGTCGGGAACTGGCTCACTGTGTGGGAAAAAGGAAGACTGGATGTGCACCCGACAAACAGTACATACAAAAACAGACCCCACATGTAAGAGGGAAAAACATAAAGTTAATAGAAGTGGGGTAAAACTTTTTAAACAAAACCATAAAAGCTCAAATCATTCACTAACAAAAAACTGATGAATTTGATTATATCAAAAAATAAGATTATCTGTTCACTGAAGAATACCATCAATAAAGTAACTAACACTTTTCTGATTGGGGCAAGATACTTGCAATGCTTAAAACCAGGAAGAGACTGATATCTAGGATACACAAAGAATTCTTGCAAATTAACAAGAAAAAGACAGGAACTCTAATAAATGCGTAAAAAATCTAAACCGCAATTTACAAGGTAGGAAACCCAAAAGTCTAGCAAGCATATGAAAAAGTGCTCAAACTCTATGGTAGTCAGAAGGATGAAAATTAAAAATGAAATACCAGTTGACATCCATTAGATCATCATCGTTGGAAAGGTGAATAATGTCATGTGTTTGAGGTTCTAGGCCAGTGATGGCGAACCTATGACACGCGTGTTAGAGGTGACACGTGAACTCATTTTTTTGGTTGATTTTTCTTTGTTAAATGGCATTTAAATATATACAATAAATATCAAAAATATAAATCTTTGTTTTACTATGGCTGCAAATATCAAAAACTTTCTATATGTGACACGGCACCAGAGTTAAGTTAGGGTCTTTCAAAATGCTGACACGCCGAGCTCAAAAGGTTCGCCATCACTGGTCTAGGCCCTAGCCTCATGCACTGACTGGAGTGTAGGATGAGGCAGCCATCTAGAGAGCAAATTAGTCACAATAAGTGTACACAGCCGCTCTGCTCCTGAGTGTGTAATATAGATAAAAAATTTATCCCTAATACCTGGCCGGCGTGGCTCAGTGATTAAGCATTGACCTATGAACCAGGATGTCACAGTTCTATTCCCAGTCAGGACACATGCCTGAGTTGCGGGCTCGATCCCCAGTGCGGGGCATACAAGAGATTCTCTCTCATCACGGATGTTTCTCTCTTTCCCTCTCCCGCTCTGAAATTAATAAAAAAAATATTTTTAAAAAGTATCCCTAAGGATCATAGAGGACATGCCATACTGTTTATGAAAATACAAAATATATGCACACAAAACAACACATTAAAAACCCCACTTAAAAAAGACACATTAAACACATTAGTTCTCGCTGGGGGGAAAGGAAAAGGGGAACAAGAAGGGAGATAAAAGGAACTAAAAAAAATAAAAGAAGAGGAGGGTTTTGAAGAAACCGTTCATAGGAACATGTCATGGGGCCAACAACAACAACAACAGAGGCCCCAGGCCATCTCCAGTCCCCCTGCTCACACTGCCTTCCGAAGGAGCCTTTGGAGGCCCAGCCAGGAACATGAAAAAGCAACTGGATGGCAAGCAGACAGACACAGTGCTAAAATAAGGACTTAATTGACATCAGACTCTAAGGCTCTGAGAAAACAAGAAACATCTACAGGCTTTGAGGGGAAATGTTTTCACATGTGAACAACCATTCACCTGCCGAGGCGGAGATGGAATTCAGGGGGAAAGAAGGACCTTGTTTAGACTTCCCAGGACTCCCAGGCATACTGTCCACTATCCTGTTGAGGGGTATGTGTATATATACTGAATAATGAAAAGACAAAGGTATAGGGATGGCTAATCAACGTGATCTGTTTCCAGTTCCAACGGTCTGTCCAGAGCACTTGCTAAGAAGGGTTGTGACTTTCTGTCCAATCTCAGATGCAGGAATGCCTGGATTAATTAGTAACATCGCCCATAGGCCCCTGCTGCCTATGTGGACCTCCCCACACCCACAAAGAAGAGTGTGAAGGTCAAGAAACCAAACACCGACTCCCTTTGGGAAGGTGGGATGGGGCCTAGACGCATGCGAACACCTTGAATACTTCTGTATTGTATACATTTCTCATGAGTACACACTACCTTTATGAAAACAATACATGGAATTTTTATATATTTTAAATGTATATATTTTAATGTATATTTTAAATATATTTTCCAAATTTGAATGTATTTTAAAATGTATGTATAGTATTTATAGCTTTTGAGACAACAATTCCAATTTTGGGTATTTAATTAATAAAACTAATTAAAATGTCAGTTCTTCCCAACTTGACCTATGGATTTGATGCAATTCCAATAAAAATCCCAGCAAGTTATTTTATGTGTATCGCCAAAATGATTTTGAAGTTTACATGGTGTGGTAAAAGACTCAGAATAGTTCACACAATATTGAAGAACAAAGTTAGAGGACTGACGCTATCAGACTTTAAGACTTCCTGTAGAACTGCAGTAATCAAGACAGTATGGTGTCGAAGCCAATCTGATAAGTGTACAAACTTGGCCGATTCCATTGGGGAATGTGTGTTTTAAATATGATAATATTATAATGAACATATACCAACAAACAAAATGACAAGTCGGACTCAAGTCCAGAACTGAGAGTCAACCTTCCGGACTATGTTAGATGCCCCACAAACAAAGACACATTTCCCCTCAGAACACTTAACCAGTTTCCTTCTAGAGTGAGCATCCTGTTAATATCCCTGCTTTTAAAAAATTAACTACATTTCATGAGTTATTTGGATTTTATTTTTCTATGAATGTCTTTTCCTGTTCCCGGATCCCACCCAGGATATCACATTGCGTTCAGCTGTCCTGTCTCCTTGGGCCCCTCTGGGAGATTCCTGCATTTTAAACAGAGCTTAACCATCTGCCACTGGCCTGTGACTTCTACGGAACACCCTTGTCACTCATTCCCATGGGAGGTTAGAGACACTCACCCTGGGTCCTTGGCTCCTAGGGCCGGCCTTGATCTGCTTTGGGGAGCAGCACTGATTGCTGTGTCCTCTTCCTCCTCCTCTCACCGAAGCACAGGATGGTCTTTGCACTTGAGCTCTCCACACAGCTGTCACCTGGGATGAGTGCAGAGTCTGTAGCAGCCCATCCCATCTGGTAGCTCTGCTCTTAGCACACGCCCAGGCCTGGAGTCTTCCCTGCTACTCTGGGGTGACTGGCCTCTTGAATGAGTGGCCTTGGGTGGCAGACAGGCTCCACCCCGTTTTAACTGCTTAAAGAACCAGGAGCCCAGTGCTCACTTTCTTATATGGTGGCCTCAAGTAAAGAGAAGACATCCAGACCCTCTTGCCAGCCCTGAGGAATGGGCTTAGAGGACCCCGGGCTGGGTGCCAGCACCCAGGGGGATACGTGGTGTGCTCTCTCCAGGCCTCTTCCTCCTGGTGTTATCAATATTTAACCACAGAGCAGGGAGCCAAGCCCGGCCTTTGACAGCTTGTTCTTTCTCACAGTAAAGGCCAGGGTCATATAGGAATTCCTCACAAGGAGCTATAAAATAAGACCTTTGGAGGGCAAGGGGCGGTCCCGGAAGGCAAGGCAAGTGAGTGAAGCTGTGTGAGTGGCACAGAAAGGAGAAAGCAGGGCGGGTCAAAGAGCACAGAGTGAGGAGAGCTTGGTAGAGAAGCAGGAGTAAGATGCTCCTCGCACCAGGCCAGACCCATTCAATTCTGGTCATCGGTGGGCTCTGGGCTTTTCCACCCACTGGCTCCTTGCATCTTCAACAATCCTTGGAGTTGGCTTGGCAAGGAGCAGGGTTCCCATTTCACAAATGAGGTACTAGAAGTTGAGTGAGGTCAAGTGACAGGAACAAGTTCCTCTAGACCAGTGGTTCTCAACCTTCTGACCCTTTAAGTACAGTTCCTCATGTTGTGACCCAACCATATGATTATTTTCGTTGCTACTTCATAACTGTAATGTTGCTACTGTTATGAATCGTAATGTAAATATCTGATATGCAGGGTGGTCTTAGGCGACCCCTGTGAAAGGGTCGTTTGACCGCCGAAGGGGTCGCGACCCACAGGTTGAGAACCTCTGCTCTAGGAGTTAAGCACAGGTTAACACTGTGGACAGCAGCATGGTGCAGAGGAAAGGAGACCCAACAGGGAACATAGGGGCCTGCAACTCATTATTTTGTAACTCATTCATTCATTCAATAAATATTATTTGAGTTCCTATTACACAGATGACATGGTAAACAAGACAGGCAAGGACCCCATTCTCCTGTAGCTCACACTCTGGGAGGGATAGACAGACAACAAAAAAAGTTAGCAAAAGCATAAATAAAATAATTTCAGCTAGAGAAAGTTTCTTTGAATAATTTAAACAACAAAATGGTATAGAAAGAGATGGGGTAGGAGAGCTATGACTTCTGTATTCCTGTACTAAAAACTGAAGGACAAGGACCTGCGACAGCAGGTGCAAAGGCACTGAAGAGATACTGGGCACAATGAGTTTGAGAAACGAAAAGGAGGGCACTGAGAGCACTGGGCTGAAGCAGGGCGATGAGGGGAAGTGGCAAAGAATAGAGCTGGAGTGTAGGCGGAGGCAGACCTTTGTAGGGTCTCATAAAACAGGGTAAGGCATTTGCATGTAATGAGAAGCCACCGGAGGGTTTAAGCAGGGAAGTGACATGATCTGATTGACATTTATCTAAAATCACTGGCCTGCTGGGTGGGGAGGAGTAGGGAGACCTATTGGGAGGCTGTTGCATTCAGCCAGGCAAGAGACAGTGGTGGTTTGGACCAGGGTGTGGCTGTGAAAATGGTGAGAAGTGGTCAGATTCAGGGTGCATTTTGAAGAGAAAGGCAATGGGTAGATTTCAAGAGAGAGGAACTCAACACTAACTGCAACAAAGCAACTCAAAAGGTAACCATTGGCTCATATAACTGGGAAGAGCAGGGTGGAGCTGACCTTAGGGAGAGCTGGAGCCAGAAGCCTGAAGATCCCCAGCTCTTCTCTCTCTAGCTCTCTCCCTGCTTCTAACTGGACATCAGGCTCATTCCCAGAGGCTACCATCTCCAGGACCCTGGACCAGGCTGTAGGAAGTCACTCTTACAGCTGGAGGACAAGTGGTCCCTTTTCTCAACTCCAGTTTGGCAATTCCTGGCAAAGGGCTCTAGTTCTAGTTGTCCTGACCTGGGTCATGTACCCATGTTTGAGATCAGTTGTTTCAGCCAAGGGCAAGGTGCCATGGATGACCAGCTCAAACCACATGCCCATCAGGTAGCCAGGAGTGCAAGGCTGAGAGCTGGACAGTCACTCCAGTGTGGGTCCCCAAGTGACCCCTTGACCAGGATTCTCCCTGTCTGCCTTGGAGGAGAATCATGGGGTGCCTGCCCCACTCTTCTACCTGTTTCTTTTTTATCCCTCCTCTTACCTTCTTCCCTCTGCTATCGCTTATCCAGTAACTATAATTCTGTGCCTACTCTGTGCCAGGCATTCTGCTAGCGATGAAAATCATAGACACTGCCCCTGGCCTCATGAAGATCGTGTAATGGTGACTGTTTCTGACAGGTGCCATGAAGGAAACATATGCACAGAGATGAGAGCACATCACCAAGCTCTCCCTTCCTCATAGTTTCAAATATCCCTCTGGACAAATCAGTTCTACCTTAGCATCTCCTTCCCTAACATCTCCAGTCCTTGTCCCACTGCCTGGAATGTGGTGGGCCATGAGCAGTGCAGTGGAGTGGAAAGGGCTTCTGGTTTTCCCCTGTTAGTTTAATATCTGCCACTTGATAATTCTTCCAGTTTCAGCTTATATGTCATCTTGTCAGGGAACCCTTTCACACCAGATATAGTGTATGGCTGGTCAGCTTGGCTCGGTGGTTGAGCGTCAACCTATGAACCAGGAGGTCACGGTTTGATTCCCCATCAGGGCACATGCCTGAGTTGTGGGCTCGATCCCCAGTAGGGGGTGTGCAGGAGGCAGCTGATCAATGATTTTCTCTCATCGTTCATGTTTCTATTTCTCTCTCCCTCTCCCTTCCTCTCTGAAATTAATCCTACATAATAAAAGGCTAATATGCAAATCAACCGGACAGTGGAACAACTGGGGGTCAGTGCGCTCCCAGAGGAGGAGCCCTGAGCAGGGCTCGCAGCGGTGGTGGGAGCCTCTCTCACCTCCTCGCCAGCAGCAGCGCGGATGTCTGACTGCGGGGAGTGGGCCTAAGCTGTCAGTCGGACATCCTCCTAAGGCTCCCAGACTGCGAGAGGGCGCAGGCCGGCCTGAGGGACCCTCCTCTGAGTGCACAAATCTCGTGCACCGGGCCTCTACTAAAAATATATTTTTAAAAATATTGCGTATGGCTCTGGGTAACAAACACCCAATTTGAATGGTTTAAACACATACAGGTTTATTTTCTCATGTAAGAATTTCTGAAGTAGCCAGTTATGAATGTCAAAAGCTCAAGGAAATCAGGGCTGAGATTTCTGAGATTCCCTCATAGTCTCAGTATGGCTGATGCAGCTCCAGCCATTATGTCCACGTTCCAAGCAGAAAAAAAGGAAAAGGAGAAGAAGGACCACAGGATATAATGGACAAGTAACCTATCAGAGGGTAAACCCAGACAACAGGGAGAACTATGGACAAGGGCTGAGAGCCCCGTAGGCCTCAAGGTGATAGAAACTGCTCTGTATTCCAAGTCAGCCTGGACTGCTCCCTGGGGTGAGCCCTCAGCATCAGCTGACACCAGGAGGGGTGGACATACCTGGGCTAGCCGATTGTTCTTATCTTCATTTTCACAAACATCACTTACACTCAGAAATCAATGTCATGATTCAATTTGAACAATAATTCTGTCAAGTCCCTGTGGCACATTCTCTTCTCAGTAGAGAAAACTTCATGGAAAATAAATTAAATCTAAAAGTGGTGATGTAAGGAGAGAACACACAGGAGCAGAGATAGATGTGCAAGGATAGTCACTGCACTTTGTTTAAGATGGCAAAACAGCCCTGGCCGGTTTGGCTCAGTGGAGAGAGCGTCAGCCTGCAAACTGAAAGGTCCCAGGTTCGATTCTGGTCAAGGGCACATGCCCGGGTTGTGGGCTCAATCCCCAGTGGGAGACTTGCAGGAGGCAGCAGATCCATGATTCTCTCTCACCATGGATGTTTCTGTCTCTCCCTCTTCCTTCCTCTCTGAAATCAATAAAAATATATTTAAAACACACATACACACAAAAGATGGCAAAACAACACGAAACAAAACCTAAATGTTAGATAATATGGTATCAATAGAATTGCATATTTTTTCTAAGCATCAATTTTTATATTAAATCCTGCAATTAAGTCCTAAATTATTGATGTGTAAGCACTGACCTGATGCCTCTGTCTGCAATAGGGTGGTTGAGAGGAAGGATGGGCGTCCAATGAGAAGCCATCTTTACACAATGCTTTTTCAACAGACACATATTTTGCTGGGAGCATTTGCAAAGTATTGGAAGTTTGGGCAGAATCTCCATGAAAGGTCATTCTGCAGCCACCACCTTCATCCCATTCATCTTATCTATATGGCATTTGAGACTTCCTATGTCATTGGCCCTTCTTCAGAATATTTAGTACTTCCTATGTCTTTGACCCCTTGCTTCTGGTTACAGTATAACCAAATATCTTCTTCAGTCCCTGAATAAATCAAAGTCCAACCGCAGAATAAAATCAAAGTCTCTCAGCCTTTCGTTTTAGTTATATGAGGTATTGAAGCTTAGTCATTCCCATAAACAGCACTCTGAATAGCCTCGTCTTGAAGAGGGCTTGCTTGATGTGTTTGAGGCATGTCCAACAACGGGTAAGTCAGCGCTGTGTGTTACTTTGAACTTTGTTGCTCCCACCTTTCACATGCAAGTCAACATTCTTTGAGGGAACAGAGGTGGCATATGGTTGGCCCCAGTATTAAAGCAAACACTTCAGACAATTCAGTTAGGGCTATTTCATTGTCAAAGCTTTATTACAAACCTGCTGTGAGGGAAGGCCTCTGGTAGTCTCACTTTAAAAATTCACTCTTGGTAAATGGTTAAATAATAGTGATTAGCCTAGATTTTTTTTAAAAAAGAATGTTTGATTAAAAGGTCACTAAGACTCTTGACTGATGTCAGTTGGGTGAATCTTAATCCTTTTAAGTTTATCAGAAATTTTTCTAAGCATTTTAACCAGAAAGCATAATTTATTTTCAGAAGGAAGTTGTGAATTAAATCATTTAAAAAGGAAAGATTCTGCCCAGGTCAGAGTTGGGGCAATTTTTCTTTCTTTTATTTTTCTTAAATTTTCAATTACAGTTGGCATTCAATATTATTTCAGGTGTACAGCATAGTGGTTACACATTTGTATAATTTACAAAGTAATCCCCCAGATAAATCTAGTACAAACCTGGCATCATACAATCATATTAAAATATTATTGACTATATTCCCTAAACTGTACTTTACATCTCCATGACTATTTTGTAACTGCCAATTTGTACTTCTTAATCCTATTTCACCCAGCCCCCGACCCTCTTCCCATCTGGCAATCATCAGTTTATTCTCTGCATCTATGAGTCTGTTTCTGTTTTGTTTGTTCATTTATTTGTGTGGGGTGTTTTTTGTTTTTTTTAATTCCACATATAAGTTAGATCATATAGTACTGGGACAATTTTTCTTTTAAAGCCCCTCCTTTTGTCTCAGATAATTTTTAAAGATCTGTCTTGGTTTAAAAAATAAAAAAAAAGAGCCCTAGCTGGTTTGGCTCAGTGGATAGAGCGTCGGCCTGCAGGCTGAGGGGTCCTGAGTTTGATTCCAGCCAAGGGCACATGCCTAGGTTGTGGGCTCGGTCCCCAGTGGGGGGTGTGCAGGAAGCAGCCAATCGATGATTCTCTCTCATCATTGATGTTTCTCTCTCTCCCTCTCCTTTCCTCTCTGAAATCAATAAAATATATTTAAAAAAAAAAGAGTAGTTCTTGCCAGGTAGCTCAGTTGATTGGAGTGTTGTCCCAGTATGCCAACACTGCGGGGTTCGATTCCCCAGTCAGGGCACATACAAGAAGCAGCCAATGAATTCATGAATAAGTGGAACAACAAAAGGATGTGCCTCCCCCAACCCCCTATACCGCTTTTCTCACTCTCTAAAATCAATAAATTTTAAAAAGGAGTCTCTGTGTGTTAATTTCTTGCCTAGTTTATCACTTTTTACTTTTTTTGTTTGTTTGTTTGTTAATCTTCATCCAAGGATATTTTTTTCCTTTTTTTTTTTTTTTTAGAGAGAGAGAGAGAGTGGAAGGGAGGGGGAGAGACAGAGAGAAACATGGATGTGTCTCTCACATCGACTGGTTGCCTCCAGCACATGCCCTGACCAGAGCCAGGATTGAGCCTGCAACTGAGGTACGTGCCCTTGACTAGAATCCAACCCAAGACCCTTCAGTCCACGGCCAAACTCTAACCAAGGACCAAAACCGCCTAGGGCACTTTTTACATTTTGTAATAAATGGAAGCAAGTAGGCATACAAAACAAACACAATCATTGTTGCCAGAAGTGTTTGTATCCATGTTGATATTATTCCTTTGTTAAACAAGGGCCTTCATGGCCAAAAAGTTTTCTGAAAGAAAGGGTTTATTGGGCCATATGCTAGCTAGAAAAAGGACCAGATCCTGGGTCATCCCGTCTAAACCCCCGGAAGAAGGGCTGGATGGAGGAGACAAACATGTCCACTGTCCTGGAGCTGACGGGGCTCTTTAAAAGGTGAAGCGAGCCAGTTCTAGGATAGGAATGACACAGAGAAAATTCTGAGATGTCCTGAATTAAATTGCAGCTGTCCTGAGGGTAGAAGGGAGAGAGACAAGAGGTTCATCAGTTAACAACTGCATGGCAAAACCAACAAAAGATTGCTTACATTACTGAATGTTGAAACTTAGAATTAACTTCCAGGTGGCTATTTCTGCATTTATCTAAAGAGAATAGCCAGGAGCCAATGAACCTCCGCGCCCCCTCCCCCAACCCCAGGAGCCTAAGCTTCTTGCTTACATTTGAACTTTCCAGACTGTTGCCCATAACCAATCCTAAAGAACAAACATGTTTTCCTTGCACTCTGCACCTATCCCAGAACTAGCCCCATTCACCTTCTCCCATCCCCTTCATCTACAGCCAATGTAAATTCTTTCAAAACAACTTACGTCTTTCTTCCCCTACTTGGTGTATAAAGAGCCCTGCTGCTGGTGATTTAGACTTCATGTCCCCGGTCTTGGTTTTTTTCTTGCTTGCATTTGGTTTAATAAACTCATTCTTTTTAAAAAGCTTTCGGCCATGACAATTTTTTTTGTTTAACAGGTGCATAGTCCGTAAGGAAGAAATATGTGCTGCTTCTGGATTGGATGTGGGCGATATTTACATTCCCCTTGGTTTGCTAGGTCGACTGCCAGCAGCAAAGGGGTACTTCCGTACCCCTAACCTGCTCCCGGGTCCTGGGTCTCACATCTGGCTTCCTTCAGATGTCATGTGACCTCTCCGGTCTCTCTCCTTTCAAGGACACCCGGCCTGCCTCTTTAGCTCTCCGCTGGGACCAAAGACATTCCAGTCTCCCGGTGGGGGGGAGTCTGTTGCACAGAACAGCCTCCCTAGCAGTCACCATCTGTAAGAGCTGTGGGATGGCCAGCGTGGCCGGCCTGTCCTCGGCGGGTGGTCTTGCAGCCCAACCCCGCTTTACAGAAAGACTGGGCATATTTGGGATTGACATTTCCTACGGAAACACAGAGGGCCTACTCCCTATCAGAAGCGCTGCCGCCTTGCGACGTCCCCACTGTCAATGACTGGAAAGGCTGGTGAGCAGCGCCTCCTAGCGGAATTCTACTGCAAGCACAGGCAGGGGGTGGCTGTGGAACAATAGTAGTACCATCCCCATTTTACAATTCGGGAAACTGAGGCTCAGTGTATTTATTATCCCAGGTCACGTGGCTGATAAGTGGTAGATCCAAGTGTGTCTGATGACAAATGAACTGTGATCATCCTACAAAATCCTTTTCTCCTCTCAGCCTTCTGGTTTCTATCAGTCACTGTGTGGTTGGCAGAGGGCGCTGTGAACAGCTCCAGGCTGCTCTAGGGGACAGCAGTGAAGAACTGGGGCGCTGAAAATTAAAGGTAGCATAATGCAGGCCCTCTAACTCAAGGAGAGAAGGGATATTAACATAAATACAGATAGCTACACTTCAGACAGCAGCTCGGTCTAAGATGAAAACCCAAATGACTATTTTAGTTGTGTTTATAGGTCATGTTGTATGGGATAAGACCATTTTTTAAATATTAGAATCACATTCCACTTGCCCTAAGAGAGGATACTGAAAGAGAACTCCATTGAAAGAATAGAAGGTTTGGGGTCCCATCTCACTCTGTTCATATATGATCAGATCAGGTGAGCGGATCACTGGAAATACAGTCTCTCCCTTCCTCTTGCCGCTCTCTTTTTTATTCAACACACAGGTGAATGTATCCATGTTTGTGCACACATTAGCAACTTCCCTCGATAACTCCAAACTGTGTGAGAAGCAGAGGTCCCCACGGAGCATTAAGAGGACGCATCAGAACGACATCAACTCCATACAGGCAAGAGCTCAGGGGAGAATGTCTAAACTTGGCATTGAAGAATGTGTGACAGCATTTAGAAAGCAGGAAGGTGGGGAAGGCATCTAGGAAGGACAACGTGAACAAAGACATGGGAGCCGGGATGTTCAGAGCTCATAATTTAGGAAAACGGACTGGGTATGATTCTATGTGATGGGGAAAGTTGGTGAGAGTGGCTAGAAAGGAGTCTGGTCTCCTCTCTACAGCCAGGATCCTGTGTGAGCACATTCAAGGCGAAAGCCACTGCCTGGGCCTGGGGAATGAAAAATCTAATCACTAGAGGTTCTTAGAGGTCTTCTAAGAGCACTCCTCACCACCAGCAGGTATACCAGGATACCAGTTTCCCTAAATCTCCTTTATGATATCCCTCTGTGTGGGAGGAAGCCCACAGGGTAGAGTGAATGCCAGAGCAAGTGATTGAGCCTCATTTCCCTCAGGTGCAAGACAGGGACTCTGACTCTGAGAGGACATAGAATTGCTGTGAATGCCAAACGGTTAGGACCACGCTTTGGAGCTACAGGGACCAGCTGTGAGGACCTTAGGTAATTACCTAACTTCACTGAGCCTCACATGCTCTTCAGTTATAATGGTTGCAATAATATTTACCTGGTATGAATGATATGAGGGTTAGCGGAACTAATCAAAATGCGTAGCCAAAGCGTGGCATATTAAATACGCAGTAAATATTAGTTATCATGGCTGAGAAAATGACACAGAATGACGGCAATAAATGAGATTTCATTGTGTGAAAACACATGACTTGTTCCAGAAAGAGTTCTTGGGGGAGATTAGATAAATCGTGCAAATACATACAATAAAAAATCACGGGGACTCTTGAACCGGCAAATACCTCCAACACGAACGGCCTCGCCTCCGACCAGCAGGCCCCGCCCCTCGGTTTCCTCCGGTCCCGCCCCTCGGTTTCCTCCGGTCCCGCCCCTCGGTTTCCTCCGGCCCCGCCCCTCGAGCCCCGCTCGCTCGCGCTCAGCCCGAAGCGCCTGCGCAGAGCGGCCGCCCCAGGCTATGAGGGTGCTGGTGCGACGCTGCTGGGGGCCCCGGCCCGTGGGAGGCGGCGCGGGCCGGAGGCCGATCCCCCAGTGGCGAGCGCTGGCCGGGCTCGGCGGGGAGGACGGCCGGGGCACCTGCGTCCGCGAGAAGCCGCCCTGGCGGGTGCTCTTCTTCGGCACCGACCAGTTCTCCCGCGAGGCGCTGCGGGCGCTGCACGCCGCCAGGTACCGGGGCGGGGCTCGGGGGGCGCAGCCGAAGGCGCCGAGGTCCAGCCTTTGCTGCCGGCCCTACGGTTTGGAACCCCGTTGGGGAAAGCGGCGGCGCCCGGGGCGTGTGGGCCCGGATCGCGGCGAATCCGGCGCCCGGAAGTTGCGCCGCACCCGCCCGGGACTGTCGGGTCTGCACCCCGCACTCCAGGCCCGGTCCGTTCGTGCTCCGAGCGCTACCCGCTTTTCGGGCATCACTTCCGTCCAGCCCGACCACCGTCCTGCCTGGTTTCGCGCGGAGAAATCGGAGCTCAGCCAGCGGTTCTCAACCTGTGGGTCGCGAACAATGAAAATATACATCCTGCATATCAGATATTTACATTACGATTCATAGCAGTAGCAAAATTACAGTTATGAAGTAGCAACGAAATTATTTAATTTTATGGTTGGGTCACAACATGAGGAACTGTATTAAAGGGTCGCGGCATTAGGAAGGTTGAGAACCACTGATTGCCTAAGGTCCTCATCTGAGCTCACGGGACTAATATGCTGTGACTTCAAGTCCTCCCCTTTCCACCTCCTCGGATTCCTCTAATTTGTACCTCAAGTCCCTTGGGCGTCTTCACAGGCGCAGGCATCCCCTGCACACCCCTGTCTTACTCCTTTGCCCCCCACCCCCTTCCTGTATACAATTGGGCCTAGATATCTGGGGCTGAATGAGGACATAGTCCAAAAAGCAGGTCCAGATGAGTAAATATATAAAGCAGAACGCTTAGGTATATATTTAGTATTTTTAAAAGTTAACAAATACTGTTTACTAGAAGAAAAAAAAAAAATTGCGATCCAGCCTGTCCCGACAGTTCATGATATGTGGGGGCTGTACCCATGTATACGGCTCCATTTTATATTTCCCTGCTCCGTTTTTTCCTGATGTGTCCTGCTCCCCGCTCATTTCTGTCATCTCCGTCAGGCCTTTCCCACATGCACTTCACAGCAGCCCCTCATATTGACTCCCTCAATCCCCGTGTGTCATGTTTCTCCCTTCACACACACCCCTTGAAACCCTCTCTTCACACCTGCTCCTTTGCATACCCCACATAATGTACTCTCCACGTGCTGTTTTCCCGTACTGCCTCCCACATCTCTTAGTGCAATATCCTGGCCCTTCTGCTGGTCCTCACTTGGTGGCTCCATTACTCCTGCTCTTTTGGGGCCCCCTGTATACTCCTCGGAACTCCTCAACATGTGATGCAATACCTGCTAAATAAACCAATGAACAGCTCCTCTGGGCACTGGAGTACTATGCAGCAGATAAAAAGAATGAGGTAGTGCTATATGTACTGTCATGGAATGATGCCCAAGAAATACATTCTTGTTTCCCCCCCCCCCAAGTGTTTATCCCCCAGTTCCTCCCTTCAGAGACAGTCACTGCTTTTAGTGTCTTATTCTAGAAATGTTCGTTGCATAAATTAGCAAATGCATAATTAACCCATCTTTTCCAAAAGACTCCCATAATAGCATAGTGTTAAGAGGGAGAAACAAAATATGGAGCAGCATATGTACTATCCCAGTTGTTTAAGATGTCTGTACTATATATGTTTCTGTATATTTCTAGAGCCATGCTGTCCAAACAGTAGTCAGTGGCCACGTGTAGCTCTTCAAACTTAAAATAATTAAAATTCATTAAAAAGTGAAAACTCGGTCTCTCAATTGCTCATGAATGTAATCATAAAAATACTGTAGAGGTGTGTGAAATAGTTTAATACTGTCATTGTCTTAATACTGTCATATTTTCTTCCAATCTTTACAATTTAGGGACAACAAAGAAGAAGAGTTAATCGAAAAATTGGAGGTGGTCACCGTGCCTTCCCCATCACCAAAAGGACTGCCAGTGAAGCAGTATGCTGTCCAGTCGCAGCTGCCCGTGTACGAGTGGCCAGATGTTGGATCTGGAGAATATGATGTTGGAGTGGTCGCTTCATTTGGCCGACTTTTGAGTGAGGCTCTTATTCTTAAGTTTCCCTAGTAAGTTTTATTTATAAGGAAATATAGTAGAGAGACCTTGGTCTTTATGTATGGACCTGGTATTTACAAAATGCAATAATTTGAACTCTAATTGCTCTTTCTTTAGTATTTTCTCTTAAAATAAAACATTTTATTAATGGTATGAATTGTTAAAATGAATGATGCTCTTTCATGCACCCTCATTTAAATTTTATATATTTGCTGCCCAGCCGCTGTGGCTAGGTGGTTGGCGGCAACCCATGCACCAGGAGGTCAGCAGGGTATTTCCGGTCAGGGATGCAGGCTCCATCCCCAGCAGGGGGCGTGCAAGAGGCCACAAAAATGTTGATGTTTCTCATCCATGTTTCTATCTCCCCCTTCCTCTCTCTCTAAAATCAATAAAAACTTTTTAAAATTACATATATATGCTGACAACTCCCAAATGTGTCCCGCCAATTCAGATCTCTCCCAGAATTCCAGGTCCCTAATGCCCACTGCCTCCTCCACAGCCCTTTTTCTAGAACATTTGAAAGGTCCAGAACTATATTCCTGAACTTTTGCCCAAAATCTGCTCCTCCCCAAAATCTTCATCTCAGCAGATGGGACCGCCAGCCTTCTGGTTGCTTAGCTCCCAAACCTTGGAGTCATTCTTAATTCCTCATCTCACACCACACGTTTAATCCATCTGGAAATACTACTGGCTCCGCCTTTGACATCTGTCTGGAGTCTGTGTCTCATCATTTCCACTCTGGCCACTCACCTGTTGTACTGCAGTAGCTTCCTAATTGGCCTCTACTTTTGTCGTTGGCCCTCTCACTTTCTTACCAACCCAGCAGCCAAAATGATCCTTTTAAAGCATAAGTCAGACCAGTCACTGCTCAAAGTTCTCTGGTGGTTTTCCATCTCACTCAAAAGCTAAAGGCCTGTGAGGACCGGCTTACTTGGTTTGGTCTGCTGGCTCTCTGGGCTCATTTCCTAGTACTATTCCTCAGGTTTACCCCACTCCAGCCACAGTAGCCTCTGCTGTGCCTTGAACTCGCCAGCATTTACCTTCCTCAAAACCTTTGTACTGTGCCTAGTGTTCCCTCTGCCTGGAAAGCTTTTCTTCTGTATATCTGCATGGCTATTCCTTTACCTTCTCATATTTCTGCCCAGTGTCTTCTTACTGGTAAAGCCTTCTTAAACCACTATTTAAATTGTAATCTGCCACCCAATAGTCTTATCCCCTTTTCTGCTTTATTTTTCTCCATAGCCCTTCGCACCACTGACAAACTTTTTACATATTCTGTTTTTTTATTGCTTATCTTCCACTCACATTGTCACATAAGCTCCCTGAGGACAGGTTGGTTCACTGTTGCTTGTATCTGCAGCACTTAGCACATTGCCAGCACATGCATTATGCTCAGTTAGTATTTGTTGAAGGAGTAAGACTGAGCTGAACAGTGAAACTTACAATATAAGACCCATATTCACACATTCTCAAGTGCATACTCATGGGAGACATTAAACTAATGACAGATCAAATTATTTAACTTGCTCATTAATGGGTGATAGGAGTATTGGGATAAACAGTGAAGGTGATGGTACTAAAAGAAGCTTGTTTTAGGCATCTAATTGCAAACCGAGAGAAGTGAGGGTAATTATGTAACTAAACTATCTGAGATGCATGACAGGGTTTGAGTGGTTCTCATATAGTAAAAAAAAAAATACATTTTTTTGTTGTTGTTTAAAAACTCCCAGACTCATCATGAGCTGGTTTTGTTGGGTTTTTTTGTTTTGTTTTGTGTTTTGTTTTTTGAAATATTGGGGGCCAGGCGGGCAAGCCCAACTCAAGGGGAAGGACTTCCACTGGTGCCCAGGCCTCGTCAGCCTTTTTAAATATATTTTACTGAATTTTTACAGAGAGAAAGAGAGAGGGAGAGATAGAAACATCGATCAGCTGCCTCCTGCACAACCCCCCACTGGGGATGTGCCCACAACCAACGTACATGTCCTTGACCGGAATCAAACCTGGGACCCTTCAGTCTGCAGGCCGACGGCTCTATCCACTGAACCAAACTGGTTAGGGCACATCATGAGCTGTTTTGCAACATCTTTGTAACAGTGAATAGTTGTTCTTGCTCTATTTTTAATTGAGTTTCATTGGTCTCTTATGGTAGAGTGAATTTAGCTCTGGCTCCCTGTTCTGGTAGTACAAGACTGGACTTAACTGTTAGTTTTTCAAAATTTTGGGAAAGTTTAATGATAAAAGGTAGCATGTTAGTTTAGATAGCAGTAACTAAATGGCACAACCCACTTGCATACTAATTTCTGCCTTTTCTAACTCAGTGGCATATTGAATGTCCACCCCAGTTGCCTCCCAAGGTGGCGTGGTCCAGCCCCTATAATCCATACTGTGCTTCAAGGAGACACAATTACTGGAGTAACAATTATGCAAATCAGGCCTAAAAGGTAAGAGCTTATTTTATTTTCTTGAGATTTTCTTGGTGATTTTGAATGTTGATCAGTTCATTGGAGGGGCTGGGTATGGATGAATGGATGATGCTCTAATTTCTCCAACTCCAGAGTCCTTCCTTTGCTTTTATACTTTTTCTGTTTTTTCCTGGTTTCTAACATAAGCCATAAGTGTTTTGGTATTTATGCCCTTGTGACATTTTTAACTTGATAATTGAAATAAATTATATTATTAGCAACTGGATTTTTAGAAAAGATGTTATGTAAATGAGAAATGGATTTTTGTGTAGTAGTTGCTATGAATCTTGGTTCTACTGGCCCTGGTTTCTATAGTAAAACTATGGTCAAAAATGTTTTGGAACCTGCCATAAGAATATATTGTATACCAATAATTTTCTTAAACATTTAATTTTTTATTATACCTGCAGTCCAAGAAATAATTATTTACAACTGCTTCAGGAATGTATTAAGACTCTGCCAATTGTCACCTTATGTCCCCATAGAAACTAATAATTCACAAGTTCAGAAGAACAACTCAATATCTCGGATTTGCTTTAATTCAGAAAAAGGGTGGGGGGAGTGTCAAAACTTTGATAATTCTAAAATCTGGGTAATGTATATATGGTGATTCATTAGGCTATTCACTGTTTTTGTGAATGTTTGTGATTTTTCATAATAAACATTTTACTAAAACTTATAGGTTAAAAATAGAATTAACAGGTCTACAAAGTTAAATATTCAAAGTAAAGCATATTTCTAATAAAAACTAATGGCCAGTATTTCAGAGCTTGATGTAAAATACAAGACTTGTGGGAATGCAAATGTACTTGCACCTACTTATAATCTACAGTGATTATAATCTAGGCAAAACTCTTGTCCTTTGAGAAAGGAAATATAGAAAGAAATAATTAGGAATGTTTTTATTGTACTTCCTTGGAAAAGAAATTCTTTGCTCTATGATGTCATTATATAAATAGAGATTTTTTTCATAGTATTTATTACTAATGACAGAATTATCTATAATTGCAATCAAACCCCTGATATGCAACTTTATACTTTTACCCATTAAGAAAAATAAATTTAAAAACTAAGTATAGGCCAGATTTTACTCACCTTTCTTTCAAACTGACATTTATCTTTGCTAATGGCTAACAGTCAAATTTGTGGCCAAGGTTAAACTATCTGGTAGTGTGTAAACGCTCATGTAGACAGACATTTTGATTGAAAGAAACTGTCAGTAATCACATTACTATTTTTTTTTTTTGTAGATTTGATGTAGGTCCAATTCTCAAACAGGAAACCATTCCTGTGCCCCCCAAGAGCACTGCAAAGGAATTGGAAGTTGTGCTGTCAAGACTGGGTGCCAACATGGTACAGATCTCGATATCACACTGCTTTTATTCACTTAGTATATTTCCTAAGTGGTTATGATGAGAAGAACAATTTTATGATATATGGTTTTAATTCTTTAAGAGTGATTTCTATCCCTGACTTCCTAAAAATTAACATGGCATTTATGGTCTCATGTGTGTCTGAGAATTTACACAGTTTGGGTATTTAATAAAGGTTTTCAAATGAAACACGTGATCTTATGTGGGCCATAGTTTCACAGCAAGGCATAAACCAGTGGTTCTCAACCTTACTAATGCCGCCACCCTTTCATACAGTTCTTCATGTTGTGGTGACCCCCAACCATAAAATTATTTTCGTTGCTACTTCATAACTGTAATTTTGCTACTGTTATGAATCGTAATGTAAATATCTGATATGCAGGATGTATTTTCATTGTTACAAATTGAACATAATTAAAGCATAGTGATTAATCACAAAAACAATATGTAATTATATATGTGTTTTCCAATGGTCTTAGGCAACCCCTGTTAAAGGGTAGTTCAACCCCCAAAGGGATCGTGACCCACAGGTTGGCGACCCACAGGTTGAGAACCGCTGCTTTAAACTATCCTTCCCAATTTCACTCCTCAGTCTCATCCGAATTTCCTAAGTGGCTTCCCTCCAAGCACTTCTGTGCCTGTGTTCCAGTCATTTGCATCCATATGCGCTGGAATTCTGCTGACCCCCAGCTATACATGAACTCCATGGCTTTGCATAGCTCATTGAATCTGTATACAGTAGGGTCTGAGTAAATGCTTAATAACCAACTTAATGATTTTCATATGAACTAGTTAATTTTCTATAGAAGGAAACTTTTCCCCCAACTATATAGATGGTGTCCTATTCCAGGCACTCACCTTGGAAATGCTACTATAATAGTGGTTGTCATTTATTAAGCACTGACTTGTGTGCCAGGATACTTTATAGACTTATTTTTTTTACTTTTCCAACAAACTTTGAGGTAGCTCTTGCTGGTGACTGTTTTACAGATGATGCCACTGAAGATCACAGACAAGTAAAATAACTTTTCCACAATGACACAGCTAGTAGGTAGTGGAATTGGGATTTGAATCCAGAACTATGTGATCCCAGAGTACACTCTGAGAGGCTCCACTGCCTTCCTCCCTGCAGGGTGAGAGTGTGGATAACCGAGCATAGTCTGTCCTGATCCTGAAAGCTTGCACATCCAGTCAAAGCTCAGCATTCACTGGAAGCACATCAATGACTTGCACTCTACAGAGAACAGCATCTCTACTGAATCCCCACTGAGTAGACACGTGTGCTCACAGCTTGGACCAATTTACTACCTTACCTGCCACACAGCGTTTAAAGCTATAGATAGTAATTTCGTGACACTGAGTTGTAATATATTTCTGCTTTTGTTCTTTTCATCTTGAATATATTGCTCTCCTTTTTTAGCTTATTTCAGTTTTGAAAAATTTGCCTGAAAGTTTGAAGAATGGAAGGCAGCAGCCAACTGAGGGGGTGACACATGGTAAGTGAAAGCTACAGAGACTCTTATCCCTCCCATAGGTTTCCTTTGTCTTTTTTCTTTTTCTTTATTGATTTTTAGAGAGAGGCAAGGAGGGAGAGAGAGACAGAGAGAGAAATATGGATTTGTTGTTCCACTTCTTTACGCATTCATTGGTTGATTTTTAAAAATATATGTTTTTATTAATTTTAGAGAAAGGAAGGGAGAGAAATAGAAATATTGATTGATCGTCTGCCTCCTGCACACCCCATACTGGGGATCTAGCCCACAACCCAGGCATGTGCCCTGACCAGGAATCGAACTGTACACCTCTTGGTGCATGGGATGATGCTCAACCACTGAGCCACACCGGCCAGGCTAATTGGTTGCTTCTTGTATGTACCCTGACTGGGGATTGAACCCACAACCTTGGTGTATCGGGACAACATTCTAACCAACTGAGCTACCTGGTCAGGGCAAAGGGTTTTTTGTTGGACTTGATAAGCATCTGAACATTTTGACTTCTTCATTTGCACATTTCTCTTAATTTTGACTAAAGGTTGAAGGCCCACTTGTATGTCCTTTTCTAAAGAATGGTTGGTTGCCCTAACTGGTTTGGCTCAGTGGATAGAGCGTCAGCCTGCGGACTGAAGGGTCCTGGGTTTGATTCCGTTCAAGGGCATGTACCTTGGTTGCAGGCACATCCCCAGTAAGGGGCGTGCAGGAGGCTGCTGATCGGTTTCTCTCTCATTGATGTTTCTAACTCTATCCCTCTTTCTTCCTCTTCTGTAAAATCAATAAAATATACCTAAAAAAAGAATGGTTGGTAAGGTCTCCCTCTCCCTGTTAACATGCAGTTTCATGAAAGAATAGAAATGTTTTCTCTACTCTTTATGTTGAAAAGTATCAAACACAGAGATAAGTTGAAAGATTGACTATCTATGTAACCCAGAGTCAACAATTATTAGTGTTTGGCCATATTTTCCTTTGTTTTCTCTAAATGTGTGTTTGTTTAGTATATGTATTTTAATTTCTGCTTAACCATTTGGAAGTATGCATCATGACCTTTCATCCCTAAACACGTTAGCATGCATCGTGAAAAATGAACAGTTTCACAATAGCATCTAATATCCAATCCATATTTAAATTTTCCTAATTGTCTAAAAACATTTTATGCTGTATATTTTTCAAACTGAGATCCAATTATAATTAGTTGTTATGTCCCTTTATTCTCTTTAATCTATAGTAATTAGTTCCTCCACTATTTCTTCCCTTCCATGTTACTGACTTTTAAAAAAAATATATTTTCTTATTGATTTCAGAGAGGAAAAGAGGGAGAGAGAGAGAAATCAACGATGAGAGAGAATCATTGACTGGCTGCCTCCTTCATGCCCCTCAATGCGTGACTTATGGCATTTCTTTTTGTCTTGCAAAAGTTTATTTTTATGTCGTCACATTTATGATCCTTTTCTTTAATTGCGTTTGAATTTTGAATTAGAGGATTTTTTTCTATACTTAGGTTATAAAGAAATTCACCCATGTTTTCTTCTAGTACCTGCATAATTTATTTATTTTTATTTTGTATTATGGAAAATTTCAAACATATACAAAAATTGAGAAAATAATGTAACGAATTAATCTTGTATCTATTATTCAGTATCAGTAGTTATCAGTTCACGGACACTGAACTTGCTATTCATTTTTGCCATTGGCTTTATCTTGTAGCCCCTAAGATTTCTGCTCGTACCAGCTGTATAAAATGGGAGGAACAAACTTCAGAGGAAATATTCAGACTTCATCGTGCCATTGGAAGTATAGTGAGTTGGAAGTCAGAATACAGTTTTACTTAATTTTGTGTGTACTTCACTTTCAAAATATTTTTATTTAGGAATGAGTCTCATAAACTAAACCTTAAAAGTTCTGAAATTCATTTTTTATTGTGATAAAATATACATAACATAAAATTTACCATTTTAACCACTTTAGGTCTGTCACATTAAGTAACCTCTGATCTTTAGTTTGTTCTTCAGAAAATTAGGGCTGATATAATATATATAAAGCATCTGTTATGACCAGATTACAGTATATGGCACAGAGGAGGTACTCATTAAATGATATCTGCTATTATTTATTCATTCATTAAACAATATTTAACGCCCATATTATGTCAGGCATTATCCCAGGTACTATAGATAAAATGATGTGGGAAGACAACAAATAAGCAAGTAAATGAAAATATCAGATAGTGTGATAAGTTCTTTGATGAAAATTTTAAAAGGACAGACTAACTGGAGGTTATTTTAGATTGGCTAGGTGGGGAAGACCTCTGAACTAACATTTAAGCTGAGATCTGAAAAACAGTAAGGAGCCAGCTATGCCGAGATCAGTAAGAGCATTCCAAGCAGAGGCAAAGCCAGATAAAGACATTACAAGAAAAGTAAACTAAAAATCAATATCCCTTATGAATATAGAGGCAAACCCCTCAACATAATTAACATACTGCATCAAACAACATATGGAAAAGGATTATACACTATGACGAAGTGAGATTTATCCAAGGAATGCAAGATTGATTCAACATACAAAAATCAATCAAAGCAATACACCATACTAATAGAGTAATGGACAAGAGCCACAGAATTGTCTCAATAGATGCAGGGAAAACATTTGACAAAATCCAATGTCTTTTTCTTTTTTATATATACATATATATATTTATTGATTTCAGAGAGGGAGAGAAAGAGAAATAGAAACATCAATCGTGAGAATTATTGATTGGCTGCCTCCTGCACACCCCTACTGGGGATCAAGCCTGCAACCTCAGCATGTGCCCTGACTGGGAATCAAACCATGACCTCCTGGTTCATAGGTCGATGCTCAACCACTAAGCCGTCCTGGCCAGGCCAATGTCCTTACTGATTTTAAAAAAAATGCTCAATAAACTAAGAATAGAAGGGAACTTTCCCAACCTGATAAAGAACATCTACCAAAAAACCCTCAGTTAACATATTTAATAGTGAAAAACTGAAAGCTTTCCCCGCCTAAGATCAGGAGCAAGAGAACTATCACTACTGCTATTCAGTAGTGGAGGTAGTAGCGCAATTAGGCAAGGAAAAGATACAAGGGGCCAGATTGGAAAGGAAGAAGTAAAACTACCTCTATTTGCAGATGGCATGATCTTAGATAGAGAAAAACAAAGAAATCTCCCCCCCCAAAAAAAAAAATGTTAGAGCTGGTAAAGACCTAATAAACAGAAAGACCTCTGTGTTCATGGACTGGAAGACAATTTTGTTAAGATGGTACCATTCTCCACATTGACCTACAGATTCCACACAATTACTATACAAATCCCAGTTAACTTCTTTGCAGAAATTGACAAGCTGATTCTAAAATTCATACCAAATCCCAGGAGGACCAGAATAGCCAAAAATTCTTGAAAAAAAGAACAAAGTTGGACTCACACTGCCTGATTTAAAAACTTGCTGCAAAACTACAGGAATCAGGTGTGGTACTGACATAGATATACAGCTCAGTGGGATAGAATTGAGAGGCGAAAATAAACCCATACATTTGTGTTCAATTAGTTTTTTGTAAGGGTACCAAGACAATTTGATAGGGAAAGAATAGTCTTTTCACCACATGGAGTTTGGACAAGTGGATATTCACAATCAAAAAAATGAATTTGGAGTCCTACCTCATACTATATATAAAAAATGAACTCAAAATGGATTAGAGACCTAAATGTGGGAGCTAAAACTATAAAATTCTTGGAAGAAAACAAGGGTAAATTTTAATGACTTTGAATTAGACAATGGTTCTTAGATATCTTGCCTAAAAGATAAGCAACCAAACTAAAAATAGAGAAATTGGACTTGAAAATTAAAAACTGTTGGGCTTCATCCTGGCCAGGTGGCTCAGTTGATTGGAGTGTTGTCCTGTACACCAAAAGGTTGCAGGTTTGATCCTCAGTCAGGGCACATACCTAGGTTGTGGATTCTATCCCTGGTCTAGGCGCGTACAGGAGGCAACTGATCAATGTTTCTCTCCCAAAAAACAATATAAAAGCATATCCTCAGGTGAGGATTAAAAGAAACAGTTGGGCTTCAAAAAACATTCCCAGAAAATGAAAAGGCAACCTATACACATTTGTAATACCTTAACTAATAAAAAAAAGAAAAAAAAAGAAAAGGCAACCTATAGAACAGAAGAAAATATTTGTAAAACATATATCTAATAAAGATCTAGTATCCAGATTATATAAAGAACTCTTAAAACGCTACAGCAAAAAGACAACCTGATTAGGAAATGCACAATGGATCTGACATGTCTCACAAGAAGACATATAAATTACCAATAAACCCATGAAAACATGATCAACTTCTTTAGTCATTAGGAAAATGCAAATCAAAACTACACTGAAATACCACTTCACACCTACTAGGATCACTATAATTAAAAAAACAGACAGTAAAGGTTTTGACACAGATGTGGAGAAATCGGGAACCTTCATACATTGGTGGTGGGAATGTAAAATGGTGCAGCTGCTGTGAAAAACAATTTGACAGTTCCTCAAAAAGTTAAACACGGAGATATATTACTACATAGGATCCCTATTTCTGCAGTTCACCTTTCCTCACCACTAAGAAAAGCTGGTGCTATACTAGAAAGAGCCAGAAGGTGAGATTTAATTCCTAGAGCTTCCATTTACTATGAAGAGCAAAACCCTTATCTTCTCTGAGCTTCTGCTTTTTTACCGCTAAAGAGGGGTTAATTACCCCGTTCACAACTGTCAAGATCAAAGGAGATAAACTGAATTTAAATCTATGCAAACATATAATTTTAACAGTAATGATGGTGGACACTGAAATGACTGTATTTTTACCATCCCTTTCCTTTCTGCAATGCTCTGACGATAGATGAAGATAAGCTTTACCTCCTCAAGAATCAAAATTATTTTGGGGCCCTGGCTGGGTAGCTCATTTGGTTTTATTATGGTCCCAATACACCAAGGGTGTGGGTTTGATCGGTCAGGGCACGTACAAGAAGCCACCAATGAATAAATAAGGAAGTGGAACAGCATATTGATGTTTCTCTCAAATCAATTTTAAAAAAGAGCTGTATATTTTTATTATATTCCTAACATATTCATAGCTCTCAGTATATATATACCTCTTTTTAGTCAGTAAGCATGTTTCTAAAGTATTTTGAGTTCTTTGAAAGAAAAAGGTTACACACATGAAAAAACTTCTATTGGAAGCAATATGAGTGAAGCAAAATGTGTCAGCATGGTATAAAGGAGAATACTGTACCAAAACGTGTCATATCTAAGAATATGAACACTATGAACTTTTCTTCAAATTTAATATTTTAAATTTATTGTTCAAATCTTTGCAACCACTTAGCTCTTCTAAAAAGTAAATGTCTTCTTTAAGGGATCTCATAAAAAGAGCACTGAGCTGAGGATGAAAAAACATGGATTCTGATCCTCGGCTTTGCTACTAACTAGCTGTGTCTAACCTTGGGAAAATAGCTGCATTTTCCTGGGCCTCGTTTTCTTCACCTATTAAATGAGATCAAGCTACACAGTCTGAAAATAAACTTATTTTTAATTCAGAAAATCGAGAGAACTTATTTTCTGCTATGTGTTAATTTTATTAACATCTTTAAATCAAGTTCTAGGGTTTCAGATATATATTATGTAATAAAGGTGGCATTTCACATTGCAGGAAAGGGTGAGATGGATTATCTAGTAAATAGCACTGGGACAACTGGTTAGCATTAGAGAGCTACCTTTTAAAATCAAAATAACATTTAGATGGATCAGGGATTTAATTTTTTTACAAATCCCACCAAAGACGGAAGAAAACACAATTAAATAATTGTATAAGTTTAATAATCTTGAACTGTAGGGAGGGCCTCCTTAAGCATGACGTGAACCACTGAAGTTATGAGAGAAAAGATTGATAATATTACTCCATAAATATAAAAAACTTATGCATGAAAAAAAATAGTGTAAAAAATCAACTAACTGGGAAAAGATTCATAACACACTCAAGAATTAAAGGGCTAATTTCCTAAAAATGTAAAAGGCTTTCACAAATTAATAGGCCAAGATGAACAACTCAGTTTTATTAAAAAATGGGCAAAGAGCATAAATTGGTAGTTTTCATAAAAAATAAAATGTGCAAATAAATATATGGAATGCTCCTCGGCATCACTAATAAACAATATATTGTCATTTTTTTCTATCAGCATTTTAGAGTGAAATGTTGATGCTTTTTAATCCAGGTAGCCCATTAAAAAAACAATAACTAGCTCAGCTGGTGTGGCTCAGTTGGTGGGTATCATCCCATGCACCAGGAGATCACAGGTTTCATTCCTGGTCAGGGCACAGGCCCGTTTGCGAGCTCAATCCCTGTCAGAGGCAGCCAATGTTTCTCTCTCATCGATGTTTCTATTTCTCCCTCTCCCTTCTATTCTCTGAAATCAATAAAAACATATATTTTTAAAAAGAAGCTATTAACAAAAATTAAAAAAACACAATAACTATCTTCAAATATATATGTATAAAATTCCTCAAGTATATAAAAGTCCTCAAACATGAATCTAGCAGGCTATTACCACATTTTTCAATTTTATAATAGCAAAAAATTAAAAATAATGAATATTGATCATAAAGATACCGGTTTCATAAATTATGGTACATTCATAAAATGACATACTATATAGCAGATAAAAAGAGTGAAATAGATAAGTGTGTACTAATGAAAAGTCCATGATTTACGGTTAAGTAATAAAAAAGTTCCTTATAAAACTGTATGTTCTAGGTTTTTAATAATAATATTGGTAGGGAAAAAAAGGATATTACATCCACCAAACTGTTAACAGTGGTTACCTTTGGGGATGGGAGTACAGAATAGTTTTATTTTCTAAATTTTTAATATAATTGCTATATATATATATAATTTGCATTTTTATCATGTACATATATTTTTAATTAGAAATAATAAAGATATAAACATTGATTTTAAAAGTGTTTAATGTTAAGGTCTTATAAATTCTGGAGACTGATATAGAAGGTCTGTGTTCTGTTGCGTAAGATTTAGAAACTGAGTTCCCAGTTCCTCTGTAATTGGGAGACAAGTCAGACCTGATTGGCACAGAATGGTAGTTAAAAGGTTTGGGGGCTGAGGGCATTTCTTTAATCATCCCTTCTTTAATTATATTTGCAGATTCCGTTACAGACACTCTGGATGGATAACACCATTAAACTTCTGGATTTGGTAGAAGTTAATCGTTCAGTCCTCACTGGTATTAACTTTTGAATAGCTGGCATAGAAAATGTTTTCACTATAGTCTATTTGAAAATGTGTCTGTTTTACCATAGGTCACATTTACAAAAAGTAGGAATTCTTTTAGTTTGTTTGGGTTCAATAATGATAATATTTTACATTCATTTAGTGTCCATTCACATGTATTTTCTCATTTAGTCATCACAGGAACCTGGGAAGTAGGCAGAGCATGGTACTATCCCTTTTTAAGCTCTGTGATTTCCTGCACTAAGCTTTTCAGGGGGTGCAAAATGACTTGGTTAATTTCATTCTGGTGAATATCATAATGAAAATGTCTGAGTAGCTCAGGGAGATCTTGGGCCAAGGTATGCATTTCACAATACAGGCCTGTTCTGCGGCCCGTTAGTACCCTCCCAGTGTGGACTGAGGAGTGTGAGCCACAGCGGGTGCTGGTGCAGTTCAGAGTCGGGGTTCCCCAGAAACCTAGGAATTGGTATGTGTTTGGTCATGGATGAAGGGGCCAGCTAAGATCCTGTATATTTCTCCACTGGTAGCTAGTTATTTCCCCCAAATGGTCAAAACTTCTGGATTCCGCATTTTTAGGTTGACCTTTGAGAGACTGAGTAAAGGACTCATAGCTTATGGGTATGGAAAGCTTGCGTTTGGGTTCAAGGTACACACGAAGTACTGTGGCTCCATTGTAAGTTTGGGTTACAGAGTCAGGTTATCAGCAAATGAGTCCTCTCTAGATTAGTGCCGCCTCCCACGATGATTTAATCTTTAAGAAGCATAATGAAGTGTAATTATTTTCGCTCTCTCATGTCCCCACCCCCTCCATTCTTTAGATCCAAAATTAACAGGACAGGCTGTTATTCCAGGATCCATAATATACCACAAACAGTCACAAAAACTTCTGGTTTGTTGCAAGGTACATTTCCTTTAGTTTAAAATTATCATACTTGTTTTACTGAATTTATAGTTTGTATCATTTATCATTTTTAGTTGGGACTTCACTGAACTGCTTGTCTATCAGATTGAGGCAATGGACAGTTTTTCTTAACAAATAGTAGAATCTCATGTAATTTTTTTAAAGTGATTTAAGTTTTTCCAAGGCATTGTTATTACTCAAACAATGAAAGAAAATTCAGTAACCAAAGTGCTTCTTTTTGAAGAAATTTGTATATTCTAAGTAAACCAATTTAATAACAAGCTCTTTTTATCTTATTAATATGACTATCATAAAAGATAGTCCTATCCAAGTATTTAGCTGAACTACAGTGCATGTGTCCTAATTGCTTTTACTACTGTTCAACAGTGGTTAGACAGATTTCTAACAATTTAAAACGACTTTGAAACCATTATTGTTTTATAAGACAACTAGAGGCCCGGTGCACCAATTCATGCATGGGTGGGGTCCCGAGGCCTGGCCAGCAATCAGGGCCGATAAGGGCCGGGCGATTGGGGCCTGCCTGCCGGTCTGGGAGAGGGACAGGGAGGGACCACGGGTCGATCGGGGCCTGCTGGCTCAGGGGAGAGACAGGGCGCAGGAAGTTGGCCTCTGGCCCCAAAGAGGGAGCCTAGGAAAGGGGCCGTGCCTGCCACCACCCACCCCTGGTTTCCCCAGGCGGGTTCAGGAGAGGAAGCAAGGGTCGCCTGGCCAGGCACGGAAGGAATGGACACCGAGGCCACTAGCCGGCCCCAGGAGGTTGACTGTGGGAGTGCACTGACCACCAGGGGGCAGCTCCTTCATTGAGCGTCTGCCCCCTGGTGGCCAGTGCGCATCATAACGACTGGTCATAATGGTCACTTAGGCTTTTATATATATTGATGATGTTTTCCTAAGAAGTGTTCCACATTCCTTGCATTTCCTTCATATGGTGTATATGTGAGATGTTTCATGCTCACGAAGGGATGTTTAAAATGTATGATAGATTGATCTGACCTACACAGACTGTAGATAGAGAACTCCTGCGTCAACCTCCCTTCGTGTCTCTTCAACTTATTCTGGAATAACATTGGGTGCATATATCTTGTCCTTGGCTGGGTCTGTAGTTTGCTCTCATAGAAGAAGCTGGTGTTGTCTGCAGATGTGAGTTTGAGATCCACAAATTGTGTCACCTCAGACCAATCACTCACACTGTCTGGCATCAGTTTTCTCTGTGGATAGTACAGGATCTGTCTGCTTTTTAGAGTGGTTGTATTCTGATAACCAGTCATAATAAGAAGCATGGACACACTCTGAAAACTATAAAGCACCATGCAAACATACCTTTTATTCTGCCCCTCTATGTTTAAGTAGGTTTATACAGACTATACATTTGTTATCACTCCTTGATAATAAACTTTCAGAGTCAAAGAATCGTATACGTTACAGTGCTCTTTGCAGCTAAGCATTTAGTAAAAGTGTTTTGGTTGGTTTATTTGTTTTCATGATAAAGTTTTATAAACTACAATTTACTTCATTTTACTACTACTTCATATTCACTCTTTATCTTTTGCCCTTTAGGATGGCTGGATTGGTGTTCGGTCAGTGATGCTCAAGAAAACACTAACAGCTGCTGATTTCTACAATGGATATTTGCACCCCTGGCACAAGAAAAACTCCCAAGCTCATCCAAGTCAATGCAGATTTCAGACTCTCAGACTTCCAGCAAAGAAGCGGGGGGAAAAAATTGTTGCTATGCAACAGTGCACTAAGTAGTTTAGAAAGAAGATAGATAAGACCTATTACATATTTGTAATTTATTAAAAGCCTTATTCATAAGGTATTACTTTGATTTTCAAGGAATATGACACTGTTGGAGAAGAGAAGATTATCCAAAAGATTAATTACCTCACTTCCTGCTTTTTGTTTAACAATAGTTAAAAACTTTTCTAGCCTGGGCAATGTGGCTCAGTGATTGAGCCAAGTGGTCATGGTTCAATTCCTGGTCAGGGCATATGCCCGGGTTGTGGGCTTGATGCCCAGTGTGGGGCATGCAGGAGGCAGCTGATCAATGATTCTCTCTCATCATTGATGTTTCTATCTCTCTCCCTCTCTGAAATCAATTTAAAAAAAACAAACCACACAACTTTTCTACTTGAATAACAAAAGAAACTTTAAATAAAAATTTTATTTATGTCAAAGTCAAGGAGATTTTATATTTCCCTAAGAGCAAGTGCAACTAACTGATAATGCATATGTATACTGAAGAGGTTCTTTAAAAGCATCTATTACATTTTTAAAATTTACGTACTCTGACTAGGTTTTCATGCAGGAGTAATCTGCATTTCTGATTTTCAGCAAGTAGTAAAGTCATTTAAATTCCTCTACTATCTAGTTCCCATCAAGTAGTAAACAGACAATGGTAATCTGTCACATTGAGCTTTACTGTAAATTCACATTTTACATCTAGGTTTTCTTGAAGTAGGAATATTCTAACACTTTTCAATGTATTTACACAATAAAAGTTATTGAGCATCTGGTCTGTGCAAACTCATCTTCTCTGTCTCTGAGAGAGTCAAGCACTTCTGGAGGAGGATGGGGTACAGGGGCCAGCTGTTAAATTTTTATTTGAGGATATTTACATACCAGCTTTTCCTGCCTAGAATGTTAAACTCTCCATTCATTAATCATCAATATTTATTGATTTATAGGGCAATTATATAATTGCTCATTTAAAATAGAATACGTTCATTACTATAAAAAGAAGTACTTGTAATAATTACTTCTGGACAACTGGCATAAACCAGGACTCCAGGTTATATGGACATCCTACTTACTGAACACTTTCTGTGTAACTATCCTTTATGCTGGTTGCTGCAGATGCAGAGATTAAATTTTTGGCATCTTCAATCTACTGGGGAGGCAAACAAGCAAATATAATAGTTATAAATGCCATAATGGAGGTATAATGGGAGCATTCAGTCTCCCTCAAGGGAGTCAATGGAGGCTTTCCAGAGGAGATAAAGCAGAATCTGCGTCTCCAAATGATGAGTTCACTATGCAGACTGAAGCCCGGCAGGCACCCTAGCATGTGCAGAGGCACGGAGGCTTAAAAGAACCCTCACCGCGAGTTGCTAATGTTCTTAAACTGGGTGGTGGGAGCATGACTGGCTTTTATTATTCTTTAAATCATAAATTGGCTAGGCATGCTCTTCAATGTATGGGGCTAATTATCTACTTACATACAAAGCTGGCTGGGAAAAAGCTCATGAATCATGGAAGAGAAACAAATGGCATGTTAAACACGGGGGGAAAGAACAGAGTGTTTGGAAGAAACCAGAATTGATAGGAACTTTGATGATGGAGATGAGACTGGAAGAGCAAGACTAGAAGGCCACATTATGGAGGGCTTTGAAAACAGAATTTGGCCCTTTGTCATGTATGCAAGAGACTTAACCAGGGAAGTCACGTGACCAGATCTACATTTTGGGTAGGTAACTTTGGTCGTGGAGTGAAAGGAAGATTGGAAGTAAAAGATCTGTTGGCAAGTTGGAAATGTGAAGGTTTGGGCAACCGCTCCAACTATGGGGAAGGGGGAAAGGATTTAAAAGATTTCACTGTGGAAGTGAAAGAACTTGGTTATCACTTGGGAATTATATTCTTACAGAGAGTTTTGACTCCACCAATGATAGCTCTTCGATCTCTAACAAAGACACTTAACATCACTGAACTTCGGTTTCCTCATGTGTGAAATGGGGCTTTAAAAAACACTCCCAAAATAGTTTTGAGAATAAGAGACTGAACATGCTTTTTATGTTTTCAGTTAGTATGAATTGAGTACTACTCCCTACCCTAGACATTAAGCACATACAATGAAATCCAGAGAGAATGAGAACCAGTGCCCTCTGGGAGCTTACAGTGTGCGGTAGTGGTGATTTCTGCAGGGATCTGAGGAAGTGCCCATTTGGACACTGCCAAGGGAAAGCCTTTCTGAGGACACAGCTCTGTTTATCAGTTCTGATCTCTTACTACCTACTGGTTATGGTCTCAGGCCTGCCACCCACATTCTGAGTGGATCCCATCTGGTTGGTTAGCCAATTACCATTGCCCTTACCAGTCAGAATCTCTTAGGCAGACCCCCTCTAGTCCTTGGCCAGTCTGAGTCAAGGCCCACCCCAGTCCAGTGATTTCACCTGCACAGAAAACAGCCTAATGCTGAGTAGAGGGCTGTGGGTGAGGCAGTGTGAGCTGAAAATGAAGTTGGCCGGCATAGTTGGCATGGTTGGCGTACTTAGGAGTATAGGAAATACCTTTCATACATATGAAATCTTGAGGCAAGAGTGCAAAGCTCATCCCGAGGGGACAGTTTCCCATTCAGGGAGCCTTGAACCCATCCTGGGACTGGAGGATAAACACCAGGTTTAGAAATGCCATCTTCAAATTGGCAACACATTCTTTGAAAAAGTAAACGGTGCACATCCCAGAGAGGCCTCAGGAAACTACATGACTCGCTCTCCTCAAGCTCCTATAGAAGCCACAATCCAGTGTGACTGAGCAGCATTTCTATCTGAACAAAAACCACGTGGGGTACTGTTTAAATTATGTTTTAATATTTTAAAAAAATTTTATTGATGTGAGGGGTAGAGAAAGAGAGAGAGAGAGAGAGAGAGAGAGAGAGAGAGAGAGAGAGAGAGAGAGAGGAGAGAGAGATTAATTTGTTGTTCCACTTATTTGTGCATTCACTGGTTGACTCTTGTATGTGCCCTGACTGGGGATCAAACCTGCAACGTTGGCATATTGGGGTGATGCCCTAACCAACTGAGCTACCTGGCCAGGGCTGGGGTACTTGTTTAAAATGCAAATTCCTGGGTTCTACTACAGGCCATGAATTAGAATCTCTGGATATGAGACCCTGCATTTTGTCACACTCAACAAATGATTTGTATGCTAGAGCAGTAACAGCTTTAAGTAGCTTAAGAGGTGCGCATGGATCTGAGCCATATCCTGGCCCCTAGGTCTAGGGTACTCTCAGGGAAGGTGGGACACAGTCCATTCTGTCCTCGGGCTAAAAGGATGTATTTGCAAATATATTCCCTCTTTTGCAAGAAGCTTCTATTTTGGCTTTTGTCACTGAAAAAACATCAGACTCAAAACAGAATTCAGTTACTGTTAGTTGGGTGACTCAGGACAAGTTACTTAAAATTTTTAAACTATGATTTCTCAGTTTAAAAAATATGGGTAATACCTGACTTGAAGAATAGAAATACATATGGAATAGGCCCATGGAAGTGCCTGGCACATAGCAGACACTCAATAAGTGGAAGCTAATTTTGTCACCACAGTCTAAAACTGCCATAATTCCTTCCCTGGGCCTGCAACATATTTCTCCTCTGGACGGCAGCAACTGCGTACTGAGGCACCTTTAGACCAACAGGAGGGAAAGAATTTTAGAGTGGGAAAGGATCTGTGATTTAGTAACTCAAAATTTCATTTCAGAGGTGATGAAACAGGGATCCAGCAACAGCTAGCTAGTGATCATTCTAAGGTTATCACTGGGAGAGCACAGATTTTGTCTAAAAGGATTTTACTCTTGGTTTTGTTTGGGAGACAAAAGAAATGTTTCTGAGCATAAAAAGTAGCTCTGAGAATGGCTGTCAAAAAGGATGCTTGTTGTTTTCATACTTTATATTTTAGGCGGTAAAACTTATTTTCATCCTCTTCCTTTACGTATATTAATCAAACAGTTTCGAGGTGAAAATATGCTATTTTGAGAGACAGAGTCTTCTATTCAACAAATATGGTGTGAGCCCTGGCCCTGCCACTGAATAAGCCCAGGCTAGTTACCCACTCTCTGAATCTGTTTCCTTATCTTTGAAATGAAAATTGTACTTACTTTGCAAGGGTTGCCATGAGGATTAACAATAACATATGTAAATGCATCTAGCCAGGTCCAAGCACACAGTAAGTTCTCAATACCATTATTATTCGCTAACATTTTATAAGTTTTGGCTATGTGTGTAAGGACTTAACCTGAACTATCTCATTTTATCCTTGCAATAGCCCTCTGAGCCAGGTACTGTTACTGATCCTTGTTTATCCAGAACATTAAATTGCTCATAAGTGGTGGAGTTGGAGTTCACACTCCAGCAGTCTGACAGTCTATGGTCCTAACCCTGGACTAGCTTGCCTCTATTGGCAAGTGTTTTTATCCTTGACCAGGGGATTTAATGTGTTAGGCTTTAGTGCTCAGAAACAAAGAAATGGGAGCACATTTTAATTTACACACAGGCACTGTGCTAGACTATTTCAAAACAATTGACTGCTACTGTTTAACCCAGCAGTTCTCAACCTGTGGGTCGCGACCCCTTCGGAGATCGAACGACCTTTTCACAGGGGTCGCCTAAGACCATCGGAAAACACATATATAATTACATATTGTTTTTGTGATTAATCACTATGCTTTAATTATGTTCAATTTGTAACAACGAAAATACATCCTGCATATCAGATATTTACATTACAATGCATAACAGTAGCAAAATTACAGTTATGAAGTAGCAACGAAAATAATTTTATGGTTGGGGGTCACCACAACATGAGGAACTGTATTAAAGGGTCGCAGCATTAGGAAGGTTGAGAACCACTGCTTTAACTACTGTCTTTATTACCTCTAAGGATTCATAGTTTTCTAGAACTCACAGATTCATTTTGCAGTATATTGTGCAGCTCTTACATTGCAGGGTTCCATATTGCTGCTCTTTAAAGGCAGATTATCTCAATGTTTACAGAAGAAACAATCAGATGCTAGGTCGACAGATGAAAACTTTGCTTAGGAACTTTCATTTTGAAAAGTTAATAATGGACAAACATTAACTTATTCAATAAGTTATAATACTTTTTTCATTAAAGAGGCTATAAAAAAAATCCTCACCAGAGGATATGTACGTTGATTTTAGAGATAGAAGGGGAAGTTGAGGGGAGGGGGCAAAGAGAAACAGAAAAATGTCGATCAGTTGCCTCCTGTATGTGCCTGACCGGGATTGAACCTGAAACCTAGGTATGTGCCCTGACCAGGAATCAATCGAACCTGTAAGCTTTTGATGGGCCGGAAGCCTTCCAACCAACTGAGCCACCCAGCCTGGGCAAGAGGCATTTTTGTGATACTCTTTAAAAGTTCATTGGAAAGAGAGAGGCAGTAGAGGAGGATTATCAGAGAGAAGCAACTTTGAGGGAAGGCTAAAGAGTCTATAACATATCTCTCATAAATATATAAAGTCTAAAATCTTAGAATTGGAAAGAACTTAGAGATCATTTAAGTCTAACCTTGGACTCATTTTATAGAGAAGGAAACCACCCCCAGAGAGGGGAAGTGTCTTGTACAAGGATAGCACTCAGATTTCTTAACTCTCAAATGATAATAAATTATTAATTATAAATGACTATATATAACTTGTTTGATAGGATCTTTCAGTAGCAAGCTGCAGAAGAGTCATATTTGTGTCTGTCTTGGGAAGTTCCAGAATCCCCACTCCATGTCTGATC